CCTGCTCGCGGTCCAGCCGACCATGGGGCCGTGGAGCTACTCCATCGAGCCCGGCCGCGGCATCGAGGACAGCCTGTCGGAAGAGCGCCTCGAGGGCGTCCAGAGCTGGCCCGAGGGCGCGCCGCCCGCGCCCGAGTGGAGCGTCCTCGACGGCAACTGCTTACAGCGACGACTTGCCGACGGGCTACGAGCAGGGCGAGAGCCCCTGCCTCCTGGAGCTCCGAGAGCTGGACCTCGGGCTCGCCGACGAGCAGAAGGACGTGCTCAAACCGCCAGAGGAGCGGATCAAGGATATCAAGTTCCCGCGCGCCCTCGAGAACAGGATCAAGCTGAGACGGACAGCTAAACGCAAGAACAGGTGGGCGCCCAAATTCGCGGGCCAGTTCCCAGGCAAGCACGCTCGCAAGTGGCGGCGCGAGAAAGCCGGGGCTGGCGGCGAGACCTCGCTCGAGCACCGCAGCAGAGGCGTGGCCGAGGCGAAGCTCACGGGCAGGCCGCCGAAGGCGCGCGCGAGCTTCTCCAAGAAGTTCAAGCAGAAGAAGCAAGCGGAGAAGGACACCAATAAGCAGGACAGGGCCAAGCAGAAAGATGGCCTCGGGGCTTGCGAGGGCCCCCCCCTGGCACGGCAAGGTGGCGCGCGTCGCCGAGGAGGGCGTCCGCGAGGGCAGGCTCGGCAGAGTGCAGGACGTCTGGCGAGTCCTGGGCACCGAGGACGAGTGCCGCCTGCGCGTCCTCGAGGTGGAGACCGCGGCGATCTTGCAGATCGAGAGCAGCGGGGCTGGGGGGGTCACGGGCACACGGTAGCTTCCGCCTGCTTTTGCCTGGGGCGGCGGAAGCAAGCGGAAGTGGGCGAAGAGGAAAAAACGAAGGCGGAAGCAGGCGGAGGCAACGCGAAGCGGAAGCAGGCGGAAGCCAACGAGCGCCAGCAAATCCCGAGCGCCACCGGTCACGATCGAGCAGGGCTACAAGTTCCCCAGGCCGCAGAAGCTCGACTCGCGCCAGACCCAACAGGCTTGCCGCACCGCGCTCGCCAAGGAGTACGCGATCATGAACAGCGAGGAGATCGTCAAGGGCGACGCCCTCGAGCTGGGCACAGTGCACGCGCTGCCGGGCGAGATCGAGGAGCGCGTGGGCGTCCCCGACACCGTTCTGGCGGTCGAGCCCACGGTGGCCGTCGCCTGGGCTCGAGAGGGCCAGGGTGAGGGCGCGCCCGCCGCCCAGGAGCCCGAGGGGCAGAAGCGCTGGGCCGAGCGCTGCGCGTGCCTCAAGGTCGGCGGTTTCTACGATGGCCCCCCCGCCAGGGTGCCCCCAGCGTTTCGCTCGGGTTTGGGGCGAGTCCTGAGGCGCCCTGCGCAGGGGGCACTCGTGGCAATTCCCACCAGGTCTCGAGGATCGACGGGGGCGGCGTCGCGGTGGAGCGCCGCGACGCCCTCGAGTAGTTGTCTGAGAGCGCCAAGCAGGCCCAGAAGGGCCACATGCGAACTCGCGCCTGCGCCGCGCGATTTCTGAGGGGGGAAGGTAGGGTTCACTTTTGCTCGGGAGCTGCCGAGCGAAGTGTACCCCGCCCTCTTCCTCAGAAATCGCGGGTAGGGTTCGCGCGTGGCCTCCCAGGGCCACCGCGAGGATCCCCCGCGAGCTCGGCGCCATTGGCCCTGGCGAGAATTCCAGCACCGAGTAACAAACGGTAACGAGCAGACGGTTGGAGCTGCGGCCTGTGGACGAGTCGCTGGATCGAGCGCGCCCTGCGCGAGATTCGAGGCGAGGGCCGCCAAATACCAGCGAACCTCAACGCCGTGGTCGCTCGAGGCATCGAGTTTATCGGTGAATTCAAGGAGGCCAGTGACGACGACTTGGCGATGGCCCAGGCCAAAGCCAAGGCCGAGCACAAGTCCAACCCTTGCAAGGACATCGCGACGACCGAGCCGAAGTAAGCAGCCTCTGCCAGCTGCGATGAAGAAGCAGCCCCCCATCGCCAGCGCACTCGCGTACCTGCGTGTGCGCCAAGAAAGGTGGGTCATGTGCATGATCGATGACTTTTCCTTCTGGTCCTCTTCCACGGGCAGCTGGTTGGGCTCCTTGCCTGTGGCAGGTGCTTTGCCTCGATCCGAGGCGGCAGCTGCGCCATCGCTGCTCTCCGTGGCCTAGTCCACGCGCTGGTCGAACTGTGATGTGGGTTTCGTTGCCCCCCGCGTGCTTACTGGTCTTTCCCTGGTGTCTGGCTTGTCCTTCCCTGCGTTCTTGCCGAAAGCACGGGAGACGGTCGTGCCATCATCAAACGTGTAACATGCAGAAGAAGCCCCAGCTGGGGCATCAGCGTAGAAATACAACGTTCGGACCCCTTGGCGGCGAGTGTCACGTATGAGGGAGAATCCACGGCTTTTGGCCCAGGTGCCCGTTGCAGCTTCAGCTACCCCCTGCGGTGGACTGTGCTTGAGATAGCGCCGCGCCGCGCCCGACGACGCAAAAGGCAGCTGCGTACGTCCAACAACTCCAAGGCTTGGATTTGCCTTGCGGGCGGCAGACCAAGCGACCATCGCCTCGCAGAGCAAGCACACGCCCGTAATACACATGCTCCGCTTCATCTTTACTTTGAGCAATCCATCTAGCAGTAGAGACACCACCAGCCTGTGTATCTTGCAGCAACCAGCACCCCTGATTCGATTCGGCTTGTACTCCAGCATCTTCTCGGCATGCTTCTCAGTCGTGGAGATCACTCCCGCCACTTCGTTGTCGTATGCTACTGTTCCCCGCGTGCGAAGGATAAGCCCTGCCACCTCTTCGTTCAACACAATCGTAGGAAACTGTTGTGGGTCATCCACGGCTTGGGAGGAATCAACACCAGCACAAAACTCCCAAATCGTGGTGCGACAGAGAATTGGTTTTTAATTTCTCAACCTCGATCGGCGCGTCGTTGGTCATGCCTTTTGGGAGCGTAGCCTTCTTTGGAGCCGTCTTGCTCACGCTGATGAGTTTGGCCTTGACCTTGACTTGGTCCTTGCCACCTTCCATGAGAACATCTAGGTCCCCCTTGGCATCGATGGCGACGGTAAGAACATTCTGTCGGTGGCCGATCGCGCGACGAGCCCGTTCGGCATCTTCATATTCAGCTGTATATTGAGCCACAACCACGACTGGCGCCTCGTACGCGGCGTAGTAGGACTGTACCTGTTTGGCCGCCACGATGGTGGTATTGCCCCACGGCGCGGGCCACAGCTTGAGCTTGGCTGGGTCCTTGTCCTCGACATCGTCCTTCGTGTCGGTGGTGGCGGTCGAAGTGGCGAACTGCTCCACCAACTGCTTCAGCTTTTTGACGATGGCGGCCGTCGTGTCGGTGCCATCCATCTGTGCTGCCAACGTCTCGAGGCGCTTCACCACTGGGAGGTCGCGCCCGTTCTTGGCCTGCTTCTTCGGCTGCACCGTCTCCAGCGGCTTCGCCTGCTTGCGTGCTTGGGAAATTGCCAGGACTTCGAGCTTGTGATGCAGAGACTTCTCCTCACGTCGCCGTTGCGTTGTGCGGGCTCCGCCTGCACCGAACAAAGGATCTCAATCGTACTCGAGATCTTCCCCTGAAAAAAAGACCCACGTCGCCCCCGCCTCGGCCTCACTGGCCTAACTTCCTGCTGTCTGCTTCCCCTCGCAGACGTGCGCAGCAACGAGACGCGAAACAAATCGCCCAGGAGGGCGGTCGGTTGCCCCAAAACGTTTGATAATGAGAAGAACCATCATCATATCCACAGCAAATTGATGCACGTGCGCCGCTCCGCCCTTGGCGTCTCCACCCCGCTTCGCACCACCTTCCCGCAGATGGTCCCGACGTCACAGAGATATTCGAAGTCCCAGAAAGTTGCCGGCCCGGCGGACCGGCCCGACCCACCTGTTAGGGTGCACCGCCCAGGTCGCCCGTCAGGGTCCGAAAGGTCGATTGCGTGAACGCCGTCAGCTGCCCGCTTCAATGTCCCGCCCGCCCGACCCGCCCGCTGATTTCTCCGGAAAGTGGTGTTCTACGCCCCAGCGGGAACACAACGATTAGGAGAAATCAGCGCGGTGCTTGGGCGAGAGTGTCTTTTCGCTCCTTCGCTCGCGGCCCCGCTTCCGACGACGTTACGATGGGAGAAACATGGCCTGCGCCCAGGCGGGAACGGGATGTCCAGAATATCATTGCCTGGCGCTTACGCGAGAGTATCATTCCGCCCTTCTGCACGCGGTGCGGTTTTTTGGTGGGAGTAGTGATGGCAACACATGCGCCGTACCCAAGCTCAGTCCAGGTCAGCCCGTCGCAGCCTAGCTGAGTCCAGCTAAGTCCTGCTTAGCCCAGCTCAGCTCAGCCCAGTCCAGCCCACTGCAGCTTAGCCAAGCTCAGTCAAGCTCAGTCCAGCTCGTTTCAGCTCAGTCCAGGAATGTTCAGCTCAACCCAGCTCCGTCCTTCCCAGCCCAGCCCAGTCAAACTCCGCGTGGCCCAGTCGTATCAGTGCAGCTCAGTCCAGCACAGCCCAGTTCAGGCCGAGACAATCAAACTCTGTCCACCTCAGCTTAGTTCAGTCCAGCTCAGCCAGTCCGGGTCTGGCTTGACCATGGTCATTCCAGCCCAGTTCAGCTCAACCAGGCTCTGCCCAGTTGGGTTCAGCACTTTCCAATTGTTTTAGCTCCGCCAAGGTCGGTTGATCTTTGCCCGGCTCAAGCTAGTGCGGCCCAGTCCAATCAAGCTCAGTCCAGCACAGCCCGCGATAGTTTAGGTCAGCCTAGTTGAGCAGTTGAATCTTGGCCAGGCAGTCATGCGCAATCTCAGCGCCTCTCAGATGTCCAAGGAAAGGGACGCACACAATGAACACATTGTACACATCTGGCGGTCCCCGCGTCGATTTCTCGATTCTGAGGATACACTTCAATCAAGCCTCATCCGCCCTCTTCCTTCGCAGCCATTTTGGCCAACGTTTTTTTCAAGGTTGGGCGTCTAGCTCCATTACCAGTTTTTTTAGACATCTCTTCTCCAGAAAGAAACGATGGCGCGTTCTGGTGTCGCTGCCCTCATCGCCGCCTTCGCCGCCGGCTTGTTGGCCTGCCAGTTCTGTAACGCCTTCGTGGTGGCGCCGCTCGGCGAACGTGGATCCCATGGTCACCCTAATGCAGTTCTGGATTCAACTGGTCCGTCTGGATTGGCGCCTGCCTCCCAGTCGTCGTCGCCTGCTGGAGTCGGCCTGACTCTGATCGGCGCGTCCGCGGCCCTGGCCCTGTTTGCCCGGGGTGCTCTGTCTATCGGTGGCAGCAAGGTGACCCCGCAGGGCTCTGCACAACACAAGGTAGTGATGGCGGCCTTCGAGAGCGAGCTGGGTGTGCAGGACCCGGTCGGCTTCTGGGACCCGGCTGGGTTCACGGCGGATGGTAGCACGGCTAACTTCGCCCGCCGGCGCCAGACCGAGCTGAAGCACGGCCGCGTGAGTATGCTGGCGACGATGGGCTACATCACCCCAGAGATTACTGGCAAGCTGCCAGGATACCTGTCGCCGTCCGCGGGCCTGAAGTTCGCGGACATCCCGAACGGGCTCGGTGCGATCTCCAAGGTTCCCGCGGCGGGCTGGGCGCAGATCGTCGCGTACGGCGCGTTCTGCGAGCTGTCCCAGGACCAGTCCGCAGGCACCGCTGCCGCCGCGGGTGACTTCGGCTTCAAGGTGTTGACGTCCAGTGACGCCGCGGAGAAGCAGAAGAAGTTGGCGGCGGAGATCGCCAACGGTCGTCTGGCCATGATGGCGATCATCGGAATGTTCTTCCAGGACGGTTTGACTGGCTCGGCTTGGGGCGATTGGGCGCTCTACACCGGATCCCCGCTGCGCGCGTTCGAGAGCGAGCTTGGCGTTCAGGACCCGGTGGGCTTCTGGGACCCGGCTGGGTTCACGGCGGATGGTAGCACGGAGAATTTCGCCAGGAGGCGCCAGACCGAGCTGAAGCACGGCCGCGTGAGCATGCTGGCGACCATGGGCTACATCACGCCCGAAATCACCGGCAAGCTGCCCGGCTACTTGTCGCCGTCTGCTGGCCTGAAGTTCGCGGACATCCCGAACGGGCTCGGTGCGATCTCCAAGGTTCCCGCGGCGGGCTGGGCGCAGATCGTCGCGTACGGCGCGTTCTGCGAGCTGTCCCAGGACCAGTCCGCAGGCACCGCTGCCGCCGCGGGTGACTTCGGCTTCAAGGTGTTGACGTCCAGTGACGCCGCGGAGAAGCAGAAGAAGTTGGCGGCGGAGATCGCCAACGGTCGTTATGGCCATGATGGCAATCATCGGCATGTTCTTCCAGGAACGGCCTGCACTGCCTGCTTGGGGCGTACTGGGCGCTTCTTGACCTGGTCCGCGCTGCGCGCGTTGCGAGGCAGGGCTGGGAGTGCTAGGACCCAGTGGGGTTTGGGACCCGGTGGGTTCACGGTGGGACGTAGCACGGCTAAATCGCCCGCCGGGCGCCAGGGACCGAGCGAAGCACGGCCCGCGTGAGTATGCTGGGACGTGGGCCTCTTATTCGTTAGGCTACATCACCCCAGAGATTACCGGCAAGCTGCCAGGGTACTTGTCGCCGTCCGCGGGCCTGAAGTTCGCGGACATCCCGAACGGGCTCGGTGCGATCTCCAAGGTTCCCGCGGCGGGCTGGGCGCAGATCGTGGCGTACGGCGCGTTCTGCGAGCTGTCCCAGGACCAGTCCGCTGGCACCGCTGCCGCGGCGGGTGACTTCGGGTTCAAGGTGCTGACGTCCAGCGACGCCGGGGAGAAGCAGAAGAAGTTGGCAGCTGAGATCGCCAACGGTCGTCTGGCCATGATGGCGATCATCGGCATGTTCTTCCACTCCGAGGACAGTTCCCCCTGAATGGGTCGGAGAGGACCGCTCCTGCGCGCTATGCTGATGTCATGGCACAGTAGTGTTACAGAGTATTACTTGCAGTCCTGCGGCTAATACTGTCATTCTTCTGGGCGGCACTGCATTTCTGTGGGTGGAGGCGCTGTCCAGCTCCAGTGGCAGGCCCGCCCTGCGGCTGGGGCGAAACATAACCCACACGGGCAGACAGGACTACCTGGGTCCCCGTTCTCTGGTGTGCCGCCCCGGGCGGGCGCCCACATTCAGTGTAATTCAGATGTGATGTTACAGAGGTGCAATCAGTGTTCTGGACGCAGGCGACTGGGACTCATTAGACGTTGCACGCATTGGTTCTCGTGCGCCTGACCCCTTGGACGGCGTCTGACTTTTTCTTCAACGCTCCGTGCGACACTGGGGCTTCACCGTGAATGCGGACCCGGTGGAAGGGGGAGTGACCCGTGCTACGGCGTCTCGATGAGCTTCGGCACCGCTTTGTACCTTGCTTCGAGCATGGCTCGTACCGTTTCGACCCTAGCTGATTGGCGGATGCTTCGGCCTAGTGGTGCTTACCTTGACACGGAGGGGAGGCTAGTTGTACAGGAGCAGTTGGACGACGCGGTACGACTCGTCCGCGGATCACCAGCGTCTTTACCGACAGTGTTGGTATTTTGCTCACAGTGTGTATGGGGTGCTCTGCGCTTGGTGAGGCGGACTTGTTCTCACCCTCGCGGGATTGATGGTTTGCCAATTCTTGCAGTGACCTGGAGTTGGTGCCAGCGCTTGATATTCTGGGCAGCCCAAATGCGAGTCGCTGCACGTCTTTGCATTCCACGATTGACTGGGGAACAACACTCTGCGGCTGTTGAGTCCCGACTTGCTCTTGGCGGCTGTCCTCGACGATGTTCCAGGTGATGCGCCGCGTGCTGTGGGCCTGTTCCGCCAGGATGCGACCGGTTGAGACGATGCATGGTCCTCGCACATGTTACCACCTATGCATTTTTGTCATGTCGGGCGTGGCGCTCCCCCCGGGTAGTACGCCCCTTGGCCAGGGCAGACCCGGTGGGGAAACGGCGGAGGCGGGGGCACGTGCCCCTCTTGGAAGGGGCTCCGCTTCTTTACAGACTGCCTACTGCTTCACCCCCGACCTCCACGCCCACATCAGAGGCGACCTTTTTGTCTGCGAGGTGGACTCCGACGGGTTGTGCATTTGCTTAGCGGGAACATTGGCATGCACGCTATTTGGCACGTTTTCCCCACTCAAGGAGTACAACACCCACCTACTACCGCATGTTCTTCCAGGACGGCCTGACCGGCTCTGCCTGGGGCGACTGGGCGCTCTACACTGGATCCCCGCTGCGCGCGTTCGAGAGTGAGCTGGGCGTGCAGGACCCAGTGGGCTTCTGGGACCCGGCTGGGTTCACGGCGGACGGTAGCACCGCTAACTTCGCCCGCCGGCGCCAGACCGAGCTGAAGCACGGCCGCGTGAGTATGCTGGCGACGATGGGCTACATCACCCCAGAGATTACCGGCAAGCTGCCAGGATACCTGTCGCCGTCCGCGGGCCTGAAGTTCGCGGACATCCCGAACGGGCTCGGTGCGATCTCCAAGGTTCCCGCGGCGGGCTGGGCGCAGATCGTGGCGTACGGCGCGTTCTGCGAGCTGTCCCAGGACCAGTCCGCAGGCACCGCTGCCGCGGCGGGTGACTTCGGCTTCAAGGTGCTGACGTCCAGCGACGCCGGGGAGAAGCAGAAGAAGTTGGCAGCTGAGATCGCCAACGGTCGTCTGGCCATGATGGCAATCATCGGCATGTTCTTCCAGGACGGCCTGACCGGCTCTGCCTGGGGCGACTGGGCGCTCTACACTGGATCCCCGCTGCGCGCGTTCGAGAGTGAGCTGGGCGTGCAGGACCCAGTGGGCTTCTGGGACCCGGCTGGGTTCACGGCGGATGGTAGCACGGCTAATTTCGCCCGCCGGCGCCAGACCGAGCTGAAGCACGGCCGCGTTGAGTATGCTGGCGACGATGGGCTACATCACCCCAGAGATTACCGGCAAGCTGCCAGGGATACCTGTCGCCGTCCGCGGGCCTGAAGTTTGCGGACATCCCGAACGGGCTCGGTGCGATTCTCCAAGGTTCCCGCGGCGGGCTGGGCGCAGATCGTGGCGTACGGCGCGTTCTGCGAGCTGTCCCAGGACCAGTCCGCTGGCACTGCTGCCGCGGCGGGTGACTTTGGGTTCAAGGTGCTGACGTCCAGCGACGCCGGGGAGAAGCAGAGAAGTTGGCAGCTGAGATCGCAACGGTCGCCTGCCATGATGGCGATCATCGGCATGTTCTTCCAGGACGGCTTGACCCGGCTCTCTGGGGCGACTGGGCGCTCTACACGGGATCCCCGTTGCGCGCGTTCGAGAGCGAGCTGGGCGTGCAGGACCCGGTCGGCTTCTGGGACCCGCTGGGTTCACGGCGGATGGTAGCACGGCTAACTTCGCCCGCCGGCGCCAGACCGAGCTGAAGCACGGCCGCGTGAGTATGCTGGCGACGATGGGCTACATCACCCCAGAGATTACCGGCAAGCTGCCAGGATACCTGTCGCCTTCCGCGGGCCTGAAGTTTGCGGACATCCCGAACGGGCTCGGTGCGATCTCCAAGGTTCCCGCGGCGGGCTGGGCGCAGATCGTGGCGTACGGCGCGTTCTGCGAGCTGTCCCAGGACCAGTCCGCTGGCACCGCTGCCGCGGCGGGTGACTTCGGGTTCAAGGTGCTGACGTCCAGCGACGCCGGGGAGAAGCAGAAGAAGTTGGCAGCTGAGATCGCCAACGGTCGTCTGGCCATGATGGCGATCATCGGCATGTTCTTCCAGGACGGCCTGACCGGCTCTGCCTGGGGCGACTGGGCGCTCTACACTGGATCCCCGCTGCGCGCGTTCGAGAGTGAGCTGGGCGTGCAGGACCCGGTCGGCTTCTGGGACCCGGCTGGGTTCACAGCGGATGGTAGCACGGCTAATTTCGCCCGCCGGCGCCAGACTGAGCTGAAGCATGGCCGCGTGAGTATGCTGGCGACGATGGGCTACATCACCCCAGAAATTACCGGCAAGCTGCCAGGATACCTGTCGCCGTCCGCGGGCCTGAAGTTCGCGGACATCCCGAACGGGCTCGGTGCGATCTCCAAGGTTCCCGCGGCGGGCTGGGCGCAGATCGTGGCGTACGGCGCGTTCTGCGAGCTGTCCCAGGACCAGTCCGCTGGCACCGCTGCCGCGGCGGGTGACTTCGGGTTCAAGGTGCTGACGTCCAGCGACGCCGGGGAGAAGCAGAAGAAGTTGGCAGCTGAGATCGCCAACGGTCGTCTGGCCATGATGGCGATCATCGGCATGTTCTTCCAGGACGGCCTGACCGGCTCTGCCTGGGGCGACTGGGCGCTCTACACTGGATCCCCGCTGCGCGCGTTCGAGAGTGAGCTGGGCGTGCAGGACCCGGTCGGCTTCTGGGACCCTGCTGGGTTCACGGCGGATGGTAGCACGGCTAATTTCGCCCGCCGGCGCCAGACCGAGCTGAAGCACGGCCGCGTGAGTATGCTGGCGACGATGGGCTACATCACCCCAGAGATTACCGGCAAGCTGCCAGGGTACTTGTCGCCGTCCGCGGGCGTGAAGTTCGCGGACATCCCGAACGGGCTCAGTGCGATCTCCAAGGTTCCCGCGGCGGGCTGGGCGCAGATCGTGGCGTACGGCGCGTTCTGCGAGCTGTCCCAGGACCAGTCCGCTGGCACCGCTGCCGCGGCGGGTGACTTCGGGTTCAAGGTGCTGACGTCCAGCGACGCCGGGGAGAAGCAGAAGAAGTTGGCAGCTGAGATCGCCAACGGTCGTCTGGCCATGATGGCGATCATCGGCATGTTCTTCCAGGACGGCCTGACTGGCTCTGCCTGGGGCGACTGGGCGCTCTACACTGGATCCCCGCTGCGCGCGTTCGAGAGTGAGCTGGGCGTGCAGGACCCGGTTGGCTTCTGGGACCCTGCTGGGTTCACGGCGGATGGTAGCACGGCTAACTTCGCCCGCCGGCGCCAGACCGAGCTGAAGCACGGCCGCGTGAGTATGCTGGCGACGATGGGCTACATCACCCCAGAGATTACCGGCAAGCTGCCAGGGTACTTGTCGCCGTCCGCGGGCCTGAAGTTCGCGGACATCCCGAACGGGCTCGGTGCGATCTCCAAGGTTCCCGCGGCGGGCTGGGCGCAGATCGTGGCGTACGGCGCGTTCTGCGAGCTGTCCCAGGACCAGTCCGCTGGCACCGCTGCCGCGGCGGGTGACTTCGGGTTCAAGGTGCTGACGTCCAGCGACGCCGGGGAGAAGCAGAAGAAGTTGGCAGCTGAGATCGCCAACGGTCGTCTGGCCATGATGGCGATCATCGGCATGTTCTTCCAGGACGGCCTGACCGGCTCTGCCTGGGGCGACTGGGCGCTCTACACTGGATCCCCGCTGCGCGCGTTCGAGAGTGAGCTGGGCGTGCAGGACCCGGTTGGCTTCTGGGACCCTGCTGGGTTCACGGCGGATGGTAGCACGGCTAACTTCGCCCGCCGGCGCCAGACCGAGCTGAAGCACGGCCGTGTGAGTATGCTGGCGACGATGGGCTACATCACCCCAGAGATTACCGGCAAGCTGCCAGGGTACTTGTCGCCGTCCGCGGGCCTGAAGTTCGCGGACATCCCGAACGGGCTCGGTGCGATCTCCAAGGTTCCCGCGGCGGGCTGGGCGCAGATCGTGGCGTACGGCGCGTTTTGCGAGCTGTCTCAGGACCAGTCCGCTGGCACCGCTGCCGCGGCGGGTGACTTCGGGTTCAAGGTGCTGACGTCCAGCGACGCCGGGGAGAAGCAGAAGAAGTTGGCAGCTGAGATCGCCAACGGTCGTCTGGCCATGATGGCAATCATCGGCATGTTCTTCCAGGACGGCCTGACCGGCTCTGCCTGGGGCGACTGGGCGCTCTACACTGGATCCCCGCTGCGCGCGTTCGAGAGTGAGCTGGGCGTGCAGGACCCAGTTGGCTTCTGGGACCCTGCTGGGTTCACGGCGGATGGTAGCACGGCTAACTTCGCCCGCCGGCGCCAGACCGAGCTGAAGCACGGCCGCGTGAGTATGCTGGCGACGATGGGCTACATCACCCCAGAGATTACCGGCAAGCTGCCAGGGTACTTGTCGCCGTCCGCGGGCCTGAAGTTCGCGGACATCCCGAACGGGCTCGGTGCGATCTCCAAGGTTCCCGCGGCGGGCTGGGCGCAGATCGTGGCGTACGGCGCGTTCTGCGAGCTGTCCCAGGACCAGTCCGCTGGCACCGCTGCCGCGGCGGGTGACTTCGGGTTCAAGGTGCTGACGTCCAGCGATGCTGGGGAGAAGCAGAAGAAATTGGCAGCTGAGATCGCCAACGGTCGTCTGGCCATGATGGCGATCATCGGCATGTTCTTCCAGGACGGCCTGACCGGCTCTGCCTGGGGCGACTGGGCACTCTACACTGGATCCCCGCTGCGCGCGTTCGAGAGCGAGCTGGGCGTGCAGGACCCGATGGGTTTCTGGGATCCAGCCGGCTTCACATTTGATGGGAACTCTGAGAATTTCGCACGCCGCCGGCAGACGGAGCTCAAGCACGGTCGTGTGTCCATGCTGGCCACCATGGGCTACATCACTCCCGAGGTCAGCGGCAAGTTCCCTGGGTATTTGTCTCCATCCTCGGAGCTGAAGTTCGCGGACATCCCGAACGGGCTCGGTGCGATCTCCAAGGTTCCCGCAGCGGGCTGGGTGCAGATCGTAGCCTACGCCGCGTTCTGCGAGCTGTCCCAGAACCAATCCCCGGGCACGCCTGCGGCGGCGGGCGATTTCGGTTGGAAGGTGCTCACCGCTAGCGACCCCGTGGAGAAGCAGAAGAAGTTGGCGGCTGAGATCGCCAACGGTCGCCTGGCGATGATGGCGATCATCGGCATGTTCTTCCAAGACGGCTTGACCGGTTCTGCGTGGGGCGACTGGGCGCTCTACACGGGCTCTCCGTTGCGCGCGTTCGAGAACGAGAAATTGCCAGTGATCAAGCAGTGTTAGCTCGATTTGATCAACGGATTGTCATTCCCCATTGCCTTGCTTGCCATGTCCTCAGTACAGCAGGGAGGATGCGGCCGCAGCGTGTTTCGGCGCTGCTTCGCGCAAGGGCCAGGACGAGTGCTGATGGAACAGGCCAGCACCTCTGCCGTCAACAAAGCTTCTGCCGCTGTCACTCCTGCTCCGCCTCCTCGTCCTCCTTTGGCCCATCGTCGTCGTGCATCGTCCCGTCTCCGTCGTGCCGTGGGCTGTCGCCTCTCACTCTGCCTGGACCTGGCGCCCTTTGGGGGCGCACGCGCGGCCAACCTGGTAACCGACGACGGGCGATACTAAAGTGCCCCCCCTAACCCCTCCTATTTTTTTACCCCCGTCCAACAGGATTTAATAGTGGAGAGGGGCGCGGGGGCCGAAGTTGATAATCCACGGGGGAAGTTGCGAATCGAAGTTGCTATCGTATCATGTTGAGTAGCAACAGCATCAAAAACGCTGAGCATTGCCATGGTGGTCTTACCACACCAGCGTCCGCAATCACCAGCGTGCGGCAGGGTTCTGGGATTCTTACCAGTTCAGTTTGCCCCACGTTACGAACGTGCGGCAGGGCCATGGGATTCTCATTTTTTAGCCGTTCCCGACTCAGGAACGTGGGGCAGGGCCATAGGGACCGATTGGATTTTGATGATGCATGCGTTTTTCGAGCGGGCGGAGCATTGCAGTTCAGTGAATTAATTTTTAGCGCACCCTTCACACGGTTCGTGGCCCTTCCTCCTCTTCCTCTGCCCCCGCAGCTGCCCAGGCCCGAGCTTCCCCGAGTCTCCAAGACCCCGAGCTTCCGAGCTTCTTCGAGGCGCCGAGCCTCTTCGCCCCAGGGGCAGTGATAGGGGGGATAGGCCTGCCGAGCCTGCCCAGGAACCTGCGGATTCACGATCGGGCGCGCGTCGCCGATGCATCGGCGATGTATCGCCGATTCCAGGTCGATGTCCCCCCCCATGCCTATCCCCTCACATCGTTGCCCCTGAGTGCGTCGCGAGCCCCAGCGATGTCCCAGCCCGCCGAGCGCGCCGCGGCGTCGAGCGTTCCCGTCGAGACCTTCAGGAACGTCGTGACCTCGAGCCCGAACTCGAACCAGATTCTCGAACGCATGGCCAAGCAAAACGAGAAGATTCTCGACGAGCTGGCCTTCATCGCGGGCATGTGCGCGATCGCCGGGATGCGCCAGTGCCAGTCGAGCGCGCGAGGCACGGATGCAGTGAGGATTACGAGCAGCTATTTCGAGGCCGAGAGCGCCTGGTGGCCAAGCAGCGCCCAGCAAACCGTGTTCGACACGGCGTGCCAAAACGGGTCCTACGAGAGCATCGAGTACGGCCGCATCTTCAGCGATAAGGACGGGAGGCGCGTCGAGCTGGCCGTGGCGGTGTACTACAAGACATACTGCGAGAAGGACGAGCACGTGTGCGACATCTCCGAGAACCGCGGAGAGCAGCCCCAGGACCTCTTCTGGCGAATGCCGAGCTTCGGGGCCAGGGTGCAGGAGCTCGCCGAGAAGAGAGACATATAGTTCGGCGCCGAGAACGTCAAGAAGCTCACCCGCGGCTCCCACACCGAGCGCGTCGGCTATGCCCACCCAAGCGTCCCCGCCGAACTTCTCCGCCTCCACGAGCTAGTGCTGCCGCCCAACGAGAAGTTCGAGCCCGTCGAGCATTGGGGCGAGGGGCCCGCCGGCAATGCCGAGCAGCTCTACGCCTTGATTCCGAGCAAGGCCCGAGAGTACGTCAAGTGGTGCAACGAGACCTCCATGGTCTCGATAGAGACCGACGGTGTCGCCGAGGCCACCGCTCAAACGATTGTCAAGTGGTGCTGCTCCGCCAAGAAAACAGCCGACATGAGCTACGAGCCGCAGGGGCGGAACTACCAGCGCAAGCGCGCCGAGCGGGGCTACTCGAAAACCGTCGAGCAGCAGGAGCACGAGACAATGCTTCTCGAGAGCCCCATCAAGCTGCATGTCGACAAGTTTGCCCTGATCCAGGCCGAGTGCGACAAGCTCTCCATGAGCGGGCGCGATGGCGAGAGGAGCCAGGCCGACGCGAAGGCCGAGCCAGGGCCCGCCTCGTTCATGCTCGTGGGTGCCCGAGAGCCTGGCGCGCGAGCTTCCCGAGCCAAGCGCCCCGCGCTGTTCGCTGCGAGGGTGCCGTTTCGAGGCGCGCGCTCGAGCCCCATCTGCTTTTCAAGCTCTAAGAGGGCGAGCGCTCGAGCGCGCGCGAGTGGCGTTCCAGGCTGCGGGGTGCTACCCCCCCTCTCGCCGAGTGGTCCTCGATCAAGCGTCGGGGAATCAAGCAGGCTCGATACTCCATTCTCGGATCGATGGTCCGAGATTCTGAGCCCGGGCATCTTTGAGCGCCTTGGGTCCTAAACCCGAGGATCGCCAAGCTTGGGCTCGAAGATCTCGGGTTCGCGATCCGAGGTTCGAGGGTCGAGCCTCGGCGATCCTCGATCGTCGCGCTGCCGTCGAGCATGCTCGATCCTTCATCCTTGGATCGAGGGTCCGGGATCTTGGTCTTGAGCATCTGCGAGCACTTCGGATCCTAGATCCAAGGGTCGCCGAGCTTGGACTGGAAGAACTCGGGTTCGACGTCCGAGGCTCGAGGACTGAGCGTGGGCGATAGTAGATCGCCGTCGTCGCCGTCCTCGAACCCACGCTGCCGCCGAGCGGACTCGATCCTCCATCCTCGGATCGAGGATCTGAGATCTCGGTCTTGAGCATCCGCGAGCATCTCGGATCCTAGGCCCGAGGGTCGTCAAGCTTGGACTGGAAGGACTCGGGTTCGACATCCGAGGCTCGAGGACAGGGCCTCGGCGATAGTAGATCGCCCCTCTCGCCGTCCTCGGGCCCGCGCTGCTATCGAGCATGCTCGATCCTCCATCTTCGGATCGAGGGTCCGAGATTTTGGTCTTGAGCGTCTGCGAGCACCTCGGATCCTAGATCCGAGGGTCGTCGAGCGTGGACTGGGAGATCTCGGTTCGACATCCGAGGCTCGAGGGCCGAGCCTCGGCGATAGTAGATCGCCCTTCTGGTCGTCCTCGGGCCCGCACTGCCACCGAGCAGGCTCGATCCTCCGTCCTCGGATCGAGGATCCGAGATCTCGGTCTTCAGCATCTGCGAGCACCTCGGATCCTAGATCTGAGGATCGCCAAGCTTGGGCACCAGGATCTCGGGTCCTCGATCCGAGGGTCGAGGGTTGAGCCTCGACACCTGGCGGCCGCGCGCGCGCAGACGCGCGCGCAGACGCGCGCGCGACCGCGCCGACGCGCGCGCGCGCGAGCACGCGCGCGCGTGCACACTCGCACTCTCGCACACTCGCACGCTCGCGCGCGCTCGCACATACCCGCGCTCCCACGCACACCCACAGTGACACAAGCACAAACAACAGCAGCCACGGCAGCAACAGCAACCAGCAAAAACGGCAGCAACAGCAGGGCGCAACAGCAACCATGCAAACAACGTGAGAACCAACAACAGTTGCGCAAACAATAAACAGCAACAAGACAAACAAGAAGAGCAACCGCAGCGAGACAAACAATAACAGCAACAAGATAAACGCCACGCACGACAAACTACCGTGGCCAATTTAGGCTTAAGCATCCTAAGCCAGCTGAGGACGCAGCGCCCCATGGCCGAGTCGGGCAGCGACGATCGTCGGCCTGTTGCCGAGCGGTCGGGCGACGAGAGCGTCGGCGAGTGGGCGACGGGCGACGAGTGGACGAGGGGGGCGGAACCTACCGCGCTGGGGGCGGGCGCCAGCAAACCCGAGGACGGGGCCTCGAGGACAAGAAGGCTGACGACGAGGAGGTCAAGCTCGAGGTCAAGCCGGATGGCGTGAAGGTCAAGCTGGAGGACAAGAAGGGCCCCCCCCTAGCTCGAGCACAAGAAGGAGCTGGAGGTCAAGCTCGGCCCCGAGGAGAAGCGCAGGCGCCTCTGCAAGCCCGCGACGACGAGGCAGCCCGATGCCTCGCAGGCCTCGGCCCCGAGTCCTGACTCAGCCCTGAGGCGCCTAGCGAGCCGCTGGGAGCTCTGAGCGAGGTGCTTTGGGGCGGGGTCAAGACGAGGTGCCGGGAATTCTCAGCGAGGTGACCCCCTAGCCTCGAGGACGCCAGACAACAAAACAAGAGACAGGTGCCAGAGCAACGCAACTAACGACACACATCGCGCAATCACACGCAAGCGGACAACGCGCGCAGACGCCGGCAGCGGTCACACAAACAACAACAACAGCAACCAGCGCAACAACAGCACCACCAACAACAGCAGAAGCAACAGCAAACACAACAGCAACACCACAAACCGACGCAACAGCAAGCCACAACGGCAGCGACAAAATGCAAGAACAGCAAGCGAACACCAAGGAGCACCAACGACAAGCTTACGCTCTTCCGTAGCCACGTTGGCTCGAGGTTCTCTGTTTCGAGCTACCTCAGCTCTGCGGCGAGACTCCGATGTCCACGCCGACGAAGCAGACGAGCTTGTCGAGCCTCTGGGGCCTGCAGACCTCGCCGCCCGTGGCCCCGGACTCGCGCGAGAAGCCGAGGACCTCGCCCTACGAGGTGGCCGACTCTGCTGCGAGCTTCTGCAAGCAACTCGAGGCCGCGAGGCTCGAGGCTGAGACGGCCGAGCAGGGTTCCTCTTCCTCATGTTTCTTCAGCTTTTCTTTCTAGTTCTTCGACTAGCAGCAGCTTCCAAAATGCTTTTCTTTCTTTTCCTTATTTTTTCCCCTTTGCTTCTCTTCCTGCAGGAATCCAGAGACCCCCAGCAGGTTTACTGACAGAGATCATGCCATTGCTGGTGTGGCTCAAGGCAAGCATCCGAAGAAAAGATCTCGCCATTGTAGCGGAGCCGTGGTCCCGACCCTCCCAGTCCACAGGGTCGGGCTCCGCGGCTCCCTCTCCCGCCAGCGGCGCGAGGGGCCCCAGCAGCCTGGGGCCGGCCGCCGGCGCGGGGGCCGCAGCAGGGCCTGCCGGGCCCAGCTCCAGCGAGGGCGACGAGTGGGAGCTCGTCGAGGTCCATCGAGGCTGGAGGAGAGTGGCGAGGCAGCTACGCAAGCTGTTCAGGCTGAGGAGGACCTGGGCAGCGCTGGGCCAGCACCTGAAGGATTTCACGAAGCTGCGCGCGAACCGCCGCTGAGATGGCGGAGGAGCGCGTGCAGGCTCTAGAGCAGCAGATGATAGCGCTGGCCCAGGAGCTGCAGAACCGCCAGCAGAGGGAGAACGATCTCACGGCCGAGGTGCAGCGGCTCGGCCGTGTGGCCGAGGCTAGACCACGGGTGGGCGGGCCTGTGCCACAGCCTCGAGCCGAGTCGCTCGTGGACACCCGCACGCTGGGCAAGCCAGACGTGTTCACGGGCGAAGAGCACAAGTGGAACGATTGGAAGGTGATCTTCAAGGCGTACTGTGGCGTCGTGAACGCCGACTTGCTGGCAGGGATGCGACTGGCAGAGAGCGCAGACGAGGCCTCAGTTCAGAACGATGACTTCCTCGAGGAGAACATGAGGCAGGCCTCGCAGCAGCTGTATTACATCTTGCTCCTCCTCTGCCGGCAGCATCCCCTGACGACGATCGTGAATGCTGGCGAGAATGAGGGCTTCCAGGCTTGGCGCAAGCTGGTTGAAATACTACGAACCGAATGCGAGGTCCCGCATCGCGGGGCAGCTGCTGAATCTCCTGAACTTCTCGTTCACTGGCGATGTCGAGGACCGGCTGGCGCTGTTCGAGCGAGAGCTCCTCAGGTACGAGCAGAGGAGCGGCGAGGCCATCGCAGCCTCCATGAGGATCGGCATCGTCCTTCGGCAGCTCGAGGAAGGCCCTCTACGCCAGCACCTCTTGCTCAATGCGACCAGGCTGGTGGAGTGGCAGGACTTCCGACGTGAGGTCACCGACGTCCGCCGTGCCCAGAGCGCCATCGCCCCGGTGCCCGTGCCCATGGACCTGAGCGCGTTCACCAAGGGTGACGGCAAGGGCAGGTTCAAGGGCGACGGCAAGGGCAAGAGCAAGTCCAGTGGCAAGGGCAAGAGCAAGGGCGACAGCAAGGGCAAGTCCAAGTCCGACGGCAAGAGCAAGACCAGCAGCAAGTCACATGGTCAGCAGCTCGGGCCACTCTGCTGGGGCTGCGGCGGTCGCGGCCGCACTCAGCGTGAATGCCCGAGCAAGCACAGGGGGACGTTGGCGAGCATGGAGCAGACGCTGGCTCGCATCAACGCCTCCCAGTCGACGAGTACGACCGTGCCATCGGCGGCCAGCTCTATCTCGACGGCTGCGACTACGAGGCTGAGTCCGGCGACGGCGATGTCCGGCACGAGCTCTCGACAGGTCGCAGCGCTCTACCTGAACGACGCGGACGAGCAGGTCAGCTACCCGTTCGCGAACCTCCACTCCCTCAGCATCTACGACCCGGGGCCGGACAAGGCGGACGTGGTCGACTCTGCGACCGGCGCGGCCCTGGACCTGAACATGATCCACGGCAACTCGGATGCGGAGGAGGTCGAGCTCAACGGCATCTTGCGTGTGGGCATCGACTCGTGTGCGGCGGCATCGGTGCTGCCGCGTGGCTCGTGTGCGGACTACCCGGTGCACGAGGGCGGCCGGGCGATCTCGTGCAAGACCGCCTCTGGCCACTACGTGAACGACGAGGGCGAGAAGATCCTCGTGGGGACGATGCCTGGGGCTTCTCAGGCACGCGCTGCCAAGTTCAGGGTGGCGGACGCCAGCAAGCCGTTGCTGAGCGTCGCGGAGATGGTCGACTCTGGCCATCGGCTCGTCTTCGACTCGGAGGGCGGGCAGGACATTAGCTACGCGTACCACAAGACCAGCGGAGACGTTGTCAGGTTCTGCCGCAGGAATAAGGTCTACGAGATGGATATGCATGTCGACCCGTGCGTGCCGGAGGTCTGCCCGGTCGAGGTGGCAGGCCACGAGCCTCCCGAGGGTGAAGCCGGCCAGCCAGGCGCGGCTCACGAGGAGGTCGCCGAGGGCCCGCCGGTGCGGCCGGCGAGGGGGCCCGCAGCGCCGACGGCGGCCGAGCGAGCCGCGCACGAGGTGCTGCACGAGCCCTACAGGGCATGGTGCCGGGAGTGCGTCTCCGGCAGAGGCCTGTCAGCAGGCCATCAGACGAAGGACCGCCAGGAGTCAGCGCTCGCGGTGGTTGGCATCGACTACGGCTACCTCGGTGAACGAGAGGACGCTACGCCGCTGCTGATCGGGAAAGATTCGAAGCAGCGTTGGTTCCACGCGTCGGTGGTGCCAGCTAAGGGGGCGCAGCATCCCTGGCCGGCAAAGTCGTGGTCCAGGGGGCTGGCTTCGGCTGGCCACAAGCGCTTCGTCTTCCGCTCAGACGGCGAGGCGCCGCTCGTCGCCCTGAAGACCCGCATCGGGGCCAAGCTCAAGGAGGAGTACGGCATCGAGACGGTGCCCGAGGAGAGCGCGGTCGGCGACTCTCAGGGCAACGGCCTGGCCGAGCACGCGGCGCGCGAGGTCAAGGCCAAGGTGAGGACGGTGCGGGCGCAGGTGGACGACCTCCACGGCGTGAGCATTGGCGTCGAGAACCCAGTGACCCCGTGGATGGTCGAGTTCGCAGCCATGTCCATCAACCTGGGCAGGCGGGGCGCTGACGGCCGCGCGGCTTGGGAACTTCGGCACGGCCGCCCCTTCAACAAGGACCTGGCTTGCTTCTCGGAGAAGGTCCTGTATCTCCCAGGGGGCAAGCGCAAGGCTGGGATCGAGGACAAGTTCCTCGCTGGGCTCTACCTGGGGCCCACGCTTCGGACGGACGAGGTCTACATTGGCACGGAGTTGGGCGTACTGCGGGCCAGGACCTTCAAGCGGTTGACGGTCGGGCAGCGGGCCGACAAGGACCTGCTGAACAGCCTCGTGGGGAAGCCGTGGGCGCCGGTGCCGACGGACGTGGAGGTGGACGAGGTGCCGGTGGCCATCGAGATCCGAGCGCTGGTGCCAGCGCCGGTCGCGCCTTTGGGCGGACCTCTGGCGCCCATCCCCGAGGCTGGGGACCTCCCGCCCTGGGCTCTCCGAGTCGGGCGACCACCAGCAGGGCCGCGGGCCGTCTACATCAGGAAGGACGTCGAGATCGCGAAGTACGGGCTCTCCCCGGGCTGCTACGGCTGCGCCGCGATCCTCAACGGCGCCCGGGCGCAGGCTCACTCAGCCGAGTGCCGCGCTCGGATCGAGCAGGCGATGCAGGACGACGAGGAGGCAAAGCAGAGGCTCGAGGATGCCCGTGAGCGGAAGCGGCATCGCACTGACGTCGCCGGGCCTGTCTATCAAGAGGGCGGCTCGTCAGGCAGCGGCGGTCCAGCCCCAGCTCAGCAGGTGCCGCCAGCACCCGAGGCCGCGGCGGCGGCTGACGTGGCGATGGCTCCGGCACCACACGACCCTGGCGACGACAACATGCAGGAGGAGATCGGTGCCCTCCTGCTCTCTCTCGGCTACAGCGGGCGCAAGGCCGACGTGATGGAGGTCTTCTGCCCGAATAGGCTTGTGGGCTTTGCCCCCCTCTTCGGTCTGGTTCACGGCGGCTCGTTCGACCTGAGGGTTGGCTGGGACCTGACCGACCGCCAGCAGCAGCGACAGTGCCGGGAGCTGATCGAGCACTTCGAGGTGTACTTCCTCTTGGGCAGTCCTCGCTGCGCGCCGTTCTCCATGCTGAAGTACCTGAATGAGGACACGGAGAAGCAGCGTGAGGCCTACGCCATCGGGTACGAGCACTTGAGGTTCGTGATGGAGCTCTACACGCTGCAGGTGAAGCACGACCGCACGTTCTTGCACGAGCACCCCTGGAGCGCGGACAGCTGGGACCTGGACATCGTGAAGGATGTGATGGCTCTCCCGGGTGTCGAGGTCGGGCGAGGCGACCAGCGCGTGTTCGGCCTGGTGGTTGCGGACGCGCACGGCGACAGGCTCGCCAAGAAGCCGACAGGGTGGATGAGTAATAACAAGGAGGTGTGGGATGAGGTCTGCAAGCGCTGCCCCAATGATACTGGCATTGGCAGCCGCCACGAGCATTCCACCTTCGTCGGCCGCAACATGCGTGTGGCGGAGAGGTACCCGGTCAAGCTCCTCCGCGCCATCCTCCGTGGCCTCCGCGGTCACCTTAGCAACAAGAAGGTGCTCACGCTTTCGGCCCTGGATGCTGGGCCGAACGTGGGCGATGAGGAGATCAGCCTGAAGGACTTCGTCGGGAAGTGGCGCGACACGCTGAGGACCGAGTTCTACGACGACCTCACCGGCCTCCCGCTGGACCCCGCGCGGGTGAAGGCCGCGAGGCGCCTGGAGATGGATTTCATGGCGCAGCTTGGCGTGTGGGTCTACGCGAGGGAGGAGGACTGTCAGCGCGAGCTTGGACGGAGGCCTCTCAGTGTGCGCTGGGTTGATATCGACAAGGGCGACACCGACCGGCCGGATTACAGATCCAGGCTCGTCGTGCAGGAGACCAAGGCGCAGAGCACCATCGCCGGGGACGACATCGGCGCGGTGTTTGCGGCGACCCCGCCGCTAGAGTGCCTTCGGCTCATCTGCAGCATGGTGATGTCGAGCGACCCGTCCGAGGGCCGCGTGCTACGCTTCCTGGACATCTCGCGGGCACACCCGCACTGTGAGATCAAGAGGACGGTCTACATCAAGCTTCCAGAGGAGGATCCGATGTCGCAGGAGATCGGTACGTGTGGGCTCTTGCGGATGGCGCTCTACGGGACGCGCGACGCTGGCCAGAACTTCGAGCTCACGACTGCCGAGACGGTCATCGGTGCTGGCTGCGACCAGTCGGCCTTCTCGCCTTGCGTGTACTGCCACAAGGACCTCCAGGTGAGCTTCTTCCACCACGGCGACGACTTCGTGCTCGAGGGCTCTCGGGGCGGGGCGGAGTCGATCTGCGAGGCCCTGAAGACGAAGTTCATCGTGAAGGACAGGGGCGTGCTCGGGCCGGCGCCTACCGACGCAAAGGAGATCACGTGCCTCAACAGGGTAATGCGCTGGCGAGACCGATGGTGCCAAGGGGGCGAGGCCATCGAGTACGAGGCGGATCCCAGGCACGCGCAGCTTGGAATGGACCCCCGCACCACGAAGTCATTGAGTACGCCAGGGCTGAGCCAGAAGCTTACACCTGAGGTCGAGCGCGAGCTGAACGAGCACGAGGCGGCAGAGTACCGCAGTGCGTGCGTGAGGCTGGGCTACTTGGCGCTCGATCGGCCAGAGGTGCAGTTCACGGCCAAGGAGTGCGCTCGCGGCATGCAGAGGCCGACAGAGCGACACCTCCGCCTTCTGAAGCGCGCTGGACGCTTCTTGATCGGGGCGCCGCGGGCCATCTGGAAGTGGGGCCGACAGCGGGCACCCACAGTGATGGACATCTATTCGGACACCGATTGGGCAAGGCTGCCCGATTACGCGGAGGAGCACCAGTTCGGTCGTGATCAAACATGGGCAGCACCTGATCGTTACGGCATCGACGACTCAGATCCCCATCTCCATGAGTTCGGGGGAGGCTGAGTTCTACGGCTGTGTGCGGGCGGCCAGCAGGGCCATCGGCATGCAGTCACTGTGCCAGGGCCTAGGCAGGGACGTGGGCCTTCGCATCTGGAGCGACTCGGCAGCTGCTCTTGGCATCATGCAACGACGAGGCTGCGGCAAAGTCCGACACCTCGAGACGCCGACGCTGTGGGTGCAGAAGGCACTCAAGGACGGACGGTTTCAACTGGCTAAGGTTCCCGGGAAGTCGAACCCGGCGGACCTGGGGACGAAGTTCCTCGACCAGGCGGCAATGCTCCGAGGGCTGGAGATGATGAGTGTCAAGCTCTCGGACGCGCCCCTCTCGAGTGCCCTTCAGGCGAAGGTCTGAACTGAGGGGCACGAGCGGCCATTTTGGCCTGGCCATTTCGGCCTGCAGTCTTTCGCTCCGCGCTGTCATTGCCTTGGACGGGCTACGGCCGTCAGCGCGGCTATTGCGTGTACTTTGATTGCAGTGCTCGACCAGCGCCGTGGTCCAGAGCGCTGTGCGCTGACGATGAGTTTCGGAGCTTTTCAGGATTCGAGTATCGTGCCTGGCTGAAGAGCTAGGCGGCACGAAGGGGGCTGCAGGAATCCAGAGACCCCCAGCAGGTTTACTGACAGAGATCATGCCATTGCTGGTATGGCTCAAGGCAAGCATCCGAAGAAAAGATCTCGCCACTTCCTCTTACTCCTCCTTCCGCCCCCCCCCCAGTGGCGGGGCTCCGCCATGGGCCCTCCCTGCGTGCGAGGTTGAAAACGATTAAACAGATTCCGAATTAAAGCCTGAGACCCCGAATCTATTTTTTCCTTGTTGAATATCGATCCTGGGACCGTCCTCTTCTCTCTTCCGTCTCCCACCATTGATATTCCCTTCTTCCTGCTCTCGCTCCTATTAGTCATATTGCAATCAACCCGCGTGGTGAGGATGAGCGATCCTGTTATGCCCTTGCATTCTTGCCACCTCGGCCCATCTCTGGGCCTTGCAAGGACCTTGCGTCTTTGCCGCGCATCCTTACTGCGCGAGTCGACTGTAATATTACGAGCATGCCCTCCCCCCATGCAGGAGCGACTCGCCGCCGCGGCCGCGCGCCGAGAGCTTGCGAGCGCCGAGGGCAAGGCCCTCGCCCCGCGCGACTTCGGCCGTGGCGCGAAGCGAGGCCTCGGCAAGGGCGGCGGACCCCGCGGCGCGAGCATGGACTACAAGGGAACGCACAAACCCCGAGCTGCGCACGCGCTGCCACGAGACCCAACGGCGCAGTCCAAGCTCCAGATCCGCGGACGAGCACAACGTGAAAAAGTTCGCCTCTCTGCCGGCTCGAGTGAGAGCCGGGCTGCAGCACGAGTGGCGCTGGGGCCGCGAGGCGGTTGCCCGATGGCACGGCCTTCGAGCTGTCCTCGAGAAGAAGGTTGCCACGGCGAAGCTCGGCAATAACGGCCTCCGAGGCTGCGGGGGCGTCCGAGTGAACTCGCGCGGGCGCGCGAGGGGCCGGGGCGCCGGGCAGTCCCGCGAGATCCCAGGTCAAGTCACAGCGATGCGCCCGCTCGAGGGTATCATGCGCGGCCTCGAGTACCAGTTCAAGCGGCAGCGCGAGCGCGGCCAGGAGGTCAGGGGGGAGACCCTTCTGACGCGGCTGCGCTACGAGCTGGCCTTCGAGCAGGACAGGCAGCCCCACCTGCAGAAGATTGGCCACGAGAGCTACAGCGCCGAGATCCTCAAGAGAGTGACCAAGCGCCTGGGCACATTCAAGGTTAACCGGGCGACCAAGAAGGACGTGCAGTGGGTGGGCGAGTTCGTCCTCTCGAGGACAGACGCGATCGGGCGCGAGAGCCGTCGCCTCTCCGAGCAAGGGAAGCAGGCCCTCAGCGAGGACAAGGCCAAGCTCACCTGGGCCACGACGGACAGGTAGTACTAGTAGTATGCGTAGTATTTAGTCGTTGTAGTTGTAGTACAAACTAATGCTAGTAGTAGTGGTAGTAGCAACTAGTTACTAATGCTGATAATTACGAGTACTACTACTACTACTTACTACTACTACTACTATGGGGAAGGACGGTTGGCAAGAACGGTTGGAAACAATCAATTTCCCCATGGCCCCCGAGGATGATGCCATGACCCCATTCGGGGGAGCGCACCGCACGTGCCCCACCCCATTCGTCGGAGCACCTCGTAGAAAGTTACTCCATCCCTGGGGTCACCGAAGGTATGACGTTGTGCGTGTTCTAACAATCCTTGCCAATCCACACCGCCAGAGTAACGTGAAAAATGCGCAATACAAACAACAATGCTAGAACATATGTGGTTCACGCACGACAACTTGATTGACCCACTCATGAATCTGGAGCGCCCAGGGGCTGTGAATCCGCACGGCGGACTCCGCGGCGGGTCAAGCCGCGCACGGGCCACAGGTGACGCATTCGCACACGTACTCACACGCGCGCACACGCGCGCGCCCACGCGCACGCACACGCGCACGCGCACGCACCACGCGCACACGCGTGAAGTCTTTCTCTATTTGGTTGCCTGCCCGCCCGCGGACAGCCCTCCGACTCACGTGTGCGTCGCTGGGAAGTGGCAGTGTGCAAAATTACATATGCCTGCCTGTATGCCTGCTGCCTTACTGTGGCGGATGGTTTGTCCTAGTAAGTATGTGGTTTGCCTAGTAGTAGGACAGTCAATGATTTTGGCATCTTCGGGACCTCCTGGAGGACCTTTTGGAGGCATCCTGGGCCGTGTTGGAGGCCTCTTGGGGGCTTCTTGGGCCGTCTTAGGCCATCTGGAGGCCATCTCAGGCAGTCTTGGAGGCCATCTTGGGCGTCTTGGAGGCCTCTGGGGCCGTTTTGGGGCCCTCTTGGGTCTATTGGGGCCCTCTTGGGAGCCCTGGAAGACCTCTTGGGGCCATCTTGAAGGCCATCGGTCAAAGGAGGAACTGGGATAACGTTCAGCCCCCCCCCCAAAAAAAAGAGAGGCCAAACTAGGGCCAAGACCTAAGTACAACCCATGAGTTGGGCGCCCACAGGGCTGGCGGGGTAACGTTTGGTTCCCCCCAAAGAAGCCAGCATCTCATCAATGCCTCATCGCACTCCGTAGCGTTTCGTGTCAAGGCCCGTGGCTTCGTGAATCCAGCTTGCACTCCTATGTTTTGCATACCGCACAGATGGCGACTACACGTGAATGTGTGCGAGAGGAGTTGTTTCAGATATGCAAAGATCGTAAGCTGTTCAAGGTAATGGATGCTTGTCGTTTTCGGTGCATCGATGCAGGGAGATTGATTGGGAATATACTGGGTGATGCAGAGAGGGAGCGTTTCTATAAATCTCAAGTGCAGCGTTTTCTTGTAGACATTCATTCGCAAGATGGGTCAACGAGTGATTTTTCTTTGAGTTTGTTGCCTCTTGTAACAGAGCATTTCATTGAGGTTGCGTTGTCGCCTGCAGATATCGAGGCTGTCTTCAATCGCTTGGCAGGTTCCAACGCACGACAAGATATGTCGGTCGCTCCTCTTGTGAATGACCAGAGGCCACTCGTATCGGTCACTGGCGCGCGCCCTCATGATGATGCTGATGCACCTATTTGTGACGCTTCTCCTGGGCCCGAGGGCGCGCTTGCAACTGCCGACGTTGGGACATACGACACATATACACATGCTGAGCTCTGTGAGGTGCTACACGACAAAGATTCGCGCATTCAGGCGCTCGGGTGGAGAATGCATGGCCGTCTGTCCTTCTCCTGCTCCTGCTCCTCCTCCTCCTCCTCCTCCTCCTCCTCATCCTCCTTCCTCCGAGCCTGGACTGGCCATCCTCCTCCAATCCCACCTCGCCTGCCTTCTAATCGCACCTTCCCCCCAACACCTCTCCACCCCCATGCACTGCCCTGCTTGTGTTCTGGGTCCACCCCCCGAGGCACTCAGCCAGCAAATGCGCGCGCTTCAGAGCAAATGCAGCAAACGTGAGGACCGCATTGCAGTGCTGAGTGGCCGAGTGAAAGAACTGAGCGATGAACTGAATGGAGTTATGGAGATGGTGCAATATCGGTCTGGAGATCCTGGTTCGCATGTTTCAAAAATCGGTGGGTATGCGCTGGCGATCGCAAGAAACAAAGGCCATTGCGGTGCTGAGGTTACCCTGGACATGGTGGCATCCGACAGCTTACACGGGGGTGTGCAGGACAAAAAAATCATATACAAATACCAACACAAAGTTGCAGCGGCCAAGCGTCTCAGAGCAAGAGAAGCCTATTCAGCAATCGGGACAATGGTGGGCCCTGTGGGCCCCGTGGGCGATGCCCCTGCAATCATGCGTATTCCTATCATGGAGGTCCACGGTATACAATGCGATTTCACCCATGAGAAAGCAGTTGAGAAATCGTCCGTGCACGTATCATTGATTTCGTCGGTATGGTGCGATGGGGAGCAATCTGTAAACGAAGCTACTTGTGATGACGGCGTCTGCGATGTAGAACAATTGGGGGCGTTTGTTGATGCCGTTTCAAACAGTGGGGACCTGCAAGTTGCTGGGGATCAACCGCATTCTGGTGCTTTGGCTTACGTCATGGTACTTCGGGAACTGGATTCAGTCGGATGCCCGACTTGGGAGCAGCGTGCACGAGAATTTCGAAATGGTACAGTGCGGAAAGACCAGCGCCAAACAGTATACGCATTCTGCCTGGACCATGGGTCTGATAACCAAGGGCTATGCAGACGAATTCGGGCAGCCATCGCTGATGTGCCCAACATCGCATTGATTGTGTTTTTTTGCATGCTACACCAACTGAGTTTGATATCTAAGTCAGTGCTGCAGACGATGGACGACTGGATTTGGCCATTACCACCTCGACCGCAGAAAAAACATTTCAATGGTGTATCTATGTTCTCATCTACGTGGAGAGCAACTGGGCTCCCGCATCGCATTGCGAAAGCTGCTGTCAAAGAGTGGGGCCCGATGATAGCACACATGTGTTTCACTAAGATGCCTACCATATGTATACGGACAAGATGGGGCTCCACCGACAGTGTGGAAGCAAAATTCAAATTATGCCAACCCTACTTGGAACCAGTGTTGCGGCGTGTGTTCGCAAAGGAATTGGCTCAGCGAGACAAGCGAGCTGCCAAGGCTGCTGCAGCAGCTCTTGCCGCGGCCGGTGCTCCTGCGGATGGCGGGCCTTTGCCCTCGCCCGACATTGGTCCTGCACCTAAGCGCGCCCAGAGGCCTGGAGAGGACATTGAAAACGCATTTCGTGACGAGGAGAAAGCCAAACGTTGCAGTGTTGTGGATTTGGCAGGCAATCGTTCGTTCTGCGCACAAGTAGTCATATCTTTAGTGGCAAAGTCAGAGATACAGAAACTTATGATT